CACTTCAGCACTGGCTTCACGATCGAGTTCCAAGACGCGCATGGCATGCGGGCGCACACCGAGTCTCTGTCACTGCGCTGTGTCGCCGCACCCTCAGCCCTTGGAACGACCCCTCCTTCCTGCTGGCCGGTGTGCCTCTGGGACAGGCGTCCAGTCATGTTCTTGTCTCAACAGATGCTTCCAACACGGGCTGGGGAGCCGTGTGTCGCGGGCATGCAGCTGCGGGCCTATGGAAAGGTGCCCAGCTGCATTGGCATATCAATCACCTAGAGCTGTTGGCAGTGTTTCTCGCTTTCCACCGTTTTTTTCCGGTGTTGGAGCAGCAACACGTGCTGGTCAGGACAGACAGTACAGCGGCGGCAGCGTATATAAACCGTATGGGAGGTATGCGCTCTCGCCGCATGTCTCAGCTCGCCCGCCGTCTGCTCCCCTCTAGTCATCCGCGGCTGAAATCGCTGAGCACCATTCACATCCCAGGTATGCTCAACCGTGCAGACGATGTGCTCTCACGGCAGCAAATTCACTCTGGAGAATGGAGACTCCACTCCGAATCTGTCCAGCTGATATGGGCGCGTTTCGGAGAGGCCCTGATCGATCTGTTTACTTCCTCTGAGAACGCTCACTGCCAGTTGTTCTTTTCCTTGACCGAGGGCTCTCTCGGCACGGATGCACTGGCCCACAGCTGACCTCGGGGCATACGCAAGTATGCGTTTCCCCCAGTGAGCCTGCTCGTGCAGTTACTGTGCAAGGTCAGGGAGGACGAGGAACAGGTTTTGCTAGTTGCGCCCCTCTGGCCCTTCCCTGGCGGATCCCTTTGAGAGAGGACCTACACTCTCAGGGACAGGGCACCATCTGGCACCCTCGCCCCAATCTCTGGAACCTCCACGTGTGGTCCCTAGACACGAGGAAGACTTAGGTAACCTACCGTCTGCGGTGGTTGATACCATCACTCAGGCTAGAGCCCCCTCCACGAGGCGCGCCTACGCTCTAAAGTGGAGTCTATTCACTGAATGGTGTGTCTCTCGCAGAGAAGACCCCCGAACCTGCCAGATCAGTGTTGTGCTCTCTTTCCTTCAAGAGAAGTTGGAGAGCAGGCTGTCGCCCTCCACTCTCAAGGTTTACGTGGCCGCCATCTCCGCTCATCATCATGGCGAATTAATCCAACTCGCCCCCCTCTCATGCCCTCGTCCTCACGAGCCTGCGCACAGATCCCTTTCAGCCACCCGAATCAGCATCCTTAAGATTTCTGTCCCTGAAGACAGCTCTGCTGGTCGCGTTGGCCTCTATTAAGAGGGTCGGGGACCTGGAGGCATTTTCGGTCAGTGACTCGTGCCTGGAATTCGGGCCGGATTATTCTCACGTTATCCTGAGACCCCGCCCGGGTTATGTGCCCAAGGTTCCTACCACTCCCTTTAGAGACCAGGTAGTAACCCTGCAAGCTCTGCCCCCGGAGGAGGCAGACCCAGCCCATTCCTTACTTTGTCCAGTTCGCGCTCTCCACATCTATGTGGACCGTACTCAAAACTTTAGATCATCTTAGCAGCTCTTTGTCTGTTATGGCGGTCAGCAGCAGGGAAGTGCCGTATCCAAACAGAGATTATCCCACTGGTTTGTGGAGGCCGTTTCATGTGCTTATTTAAGCAGAGGCGAGCCGTGTCCCCCGGGAGTGCGTGCAAACTCCACTCGGAGCGTTGCATCCTCTTGAGCGCATGCACGCGGCGCCTCTTTAACAGACATCTGTAGAGCTGCGGGCTGGGCGACACCCAACACATTTGCTAGGTTTTACAATCTGTGAGTGGAGCCGGTTTCCTCAAGGATATTAGGTAACCCTTGGTGATTGAGGAAACAACTCGGCAGGGTGTTGTAACACGCTTGCTGTGCCATTTTTCCCTAACACGGAGTGATGTGTGCCTCCTTGTCTGTCAGTAAGTTCCCCGCCAAGGGGAACCCTGCAGATTCCTCCGTGGCCACCGGCACTGACTCAGCGGAGTCTTGCTGGCCCACTACGTTGTAAGTCTGCCCGCTGGTCAGCCCGCGTTTTGGGTATAGGTGCCTGCTATGTGCGATCCCCACTAGGTGATCCCATATGCCTTTCCGCCACGGTTAAGTCCCCCCTCTTGAGTGGACCCGTGCCTTCCCTATCCGCTAACCACCTTCTTATGCGCACTCCTTCTTCTTAGGGCTAGTACATATGTATTTGCCATTTTGTCTTCCCCATTGGGTGCGGATGGTCTCCGCAGCGTCCTCCCTATCGGGATTGCACACTTCCCAACGTACTGTCGTATTTCCTATAATTATCTAGACGCTAGCGACTCCCAAAAAATATACCTAATCCATAAAACTTCCTTTGAAGTGGGATAAGTTAGGGCCAGGGACACGTTGGAGGACCGCGCCTCCCATGATGTGGGTGCATCACGCTTGCTTGACTATCCTCTCATTGGAGGTGTTGGTAAGGTGCAGTCATTAAGGCGTTTTTCATAGTTCTCCCATTCGTGGATTTCTACAATCAAATCCACCTATAGCATTGGAGGTCCCCACCCGAAGGGGAACGCTCAGGTTACAGAAGTAACCCCTCGGGGAACAGAAATGCTATATTCCATCGCCATAATGAATGTTCCTTAGCTGTTAGCAAGTCTCTTCAGCTTAAAAGGATGGCGTTTGCTCGCTCCACTTGTGCTTATATTCTGGGATAATTGGCAATGAAGCACACCTGCGCAAGTGTAGCAGTTTTACTCTGGTTGTGTGTGTTTTTTCCCAATAAGACAACAGCGGCGTTGGAGATCTCAAGTTTGGTTTATTCTGTAAAAACACAGAGAGCACAATAATATGCTGAAATGTCTCTCCCTTTTTCCACTCAGGCTCGCGTTAGCAGAGCGAGAGAACATGCAACCAACTCAGTCAGCGGCGAATTCAACACTCTTTGCATTAATAATAGCCAACAAATTGACAAAAACAATAGGTAAAAGAAAATAAATACAAATAAATAGACCACAAAAACTAGCAGTAAAGAATAAACATTATAGTATACATCAGATAAGTTGTAAAAGGAATATAATGTTTCACTGGTCACTACATTAGTGAGCAATAGAACGAAAAATAGTGTCAAATATCAGAAAAGATACACAAATAAACATTTAACACTATAAAATACATGAATATATGCAAAATTATATTGCTTTGCAAACAGACCTCATTTTACACAACTTGTATAATTAGATTTCAAACATCACTTAACAAAACATAATAAACATACCTGTAAAAACACAGAGAGCGCAATAATATGCTGAATTGTCTCTCTCTTTTTCCACTCTGCCAATTAGAAAGGAAAGTCACTTTAAGCACTCAAAATGTGATTATTTACATTAATCTTCGATACATCATAGTTTTATCACGTTTATACATTCACTGTCACATAAAATAACTCAGTGAACTCGCTTGAAAATCCTTACCAGGCTCACGTTAGCAGAGCGAGAGAACATGCAACAAACTCAGTCAGCGGCGAATTCAACACTGAAGATGGCGCTGCCTGCCCACACACCGCATGAGTTGCTGTGTGCGCCACTAATATGTGCTCTCCTAAACATTTGCCAACATGGTTCCGCATAAAAAACATCTCTATCAAAACTATATACAAAACATTATAATTAAGAAAAGAAAATATAAAACAAAAGTAATTAAAAAGTAAAGTTTTGATGAAGTTCACTAATAATTTGCATTGGTATATTTTATACTTATTAGCTCAGCTACACAAGCTTACGCTGCCAATTCATTGGCCCGTTCAATACTCTTTCAGACAAGCGGCTTCTGAACCGAATCTATCAAATCCACCTATAGCATTTCCGTTCCCCAAGAAGGGTTACTTCTGTAACCTGAGCGTTATGTTTCACAGCTGTCTTTTTCTTTTTTTCCCTCAACATTACAACCACTGCTCTGCTTGTCAGCTAATGTTATGAAAGGGCATAGATGTTATGGAAAATAGTAATAGTAATGTAACTACCCTTATCATTCCTTCCTCAAGCAAATGTGTGAATATTACATCTATTCAGCAATAATGTTAATTGCATTGGCATATCTATCTGATGTTTTCCCAGCTTATAGTAGTCGATCAAAAAGTGATTTAGTTTCTTATGACTATACACTAGCAGTGGAGTTTACTGCGATGTGACGGGCGCCACCTGAAATCTTGCCTAGGGTGCCACTTTGGTTAGGGCCGGGCCTGGCCGCAGGCTGTACACTTTTATGTGTCAAGAGTATTTAGTAATATATTTAGAGTGGATTTTCTTTAGGCCTATTAAACTTTCTAAATTGATGTAAGGAATAACGGGATGTTCAAATTTATCTTGCATCAAAAAAGTATTTTTATGTTGGCGTATGCAACTTTTGTGAAGCATCAAATCACCGTCATGTTACTGTCAAAACATGCTCATGACTGTATAGATTATTACTCCTCAAAAAAAAACTGATGAATATTGTGCATGACTATTATCATACACAAATATACTAAAGCTGGTAAAAGTCTATATTAATAAAAGTTCTCTTTGAACCTCTTTAGGAGAACCACTTGCCATCCGTGACAGTCTTGTACTTTTATTAAACTTGTGCAGATTGCATAAGTTTTATTCATCTAATTATTCAAAACTCTTTTAATATTTTCCTAAGTCTATATAACTAGAACTGTAAAAAAATATCAGTCTTCTGTACATGCTTTCAGTATTACCTTTGCTTGAAATGACCCAATTTAATCCTGTTTATATGAAAAGAGCTGCTGCTCTCGAGCAGGTTTGAGCTAAAAGAACTATTGCTAAGACAACAACTTTTAGATGAGTTTTGAAGAACGAAACGATCCTGGATCGGGTCAAATCGTCAACATCCAGCTAATTGAATAATCCACATGCGAAAAATGGACCCCAGATCTCTTAAAGTTGACTCTACATGAAAAATTCCTCCCCATGTTGTTTATGATCAGTCTCTCTCTAGTTTCTGCTTTGTTTTGTGTCCAGATAAACTGATTGTGATCCAGCAGAATCTGTCGTGGTCTGAAGCTCTGAGATACTGCAGACAGAATCATGTGGATCTGGTCTCGGTTCAGTCAGTGGAGATGCAGCGTCGTGTGATGAACGTGGTTAAACTGGCGTCTACTGAGGCGGTGTGGTTGGGTTTACACAACTACTGCAGCATGAACATGTGGCTCTGGCTGACTGGAGACATGGTGTGCTATCAGAACTGGGCTCCAGGGAACGGCAGCACACCGGAAAACTGCAAACTGGAGAACAGAAAAGGAGCAGTTCAGTCTGGAGGAGATCAGACCTGGATCAGCCGTCCTGAATCTGACAGACTCAACTTCATCTGCACTAACTACTGAGACAAAAGATGTGAGATTGTTGGTGTTTACTCACAATAGCCGCATTTCCATTGTCAGGCCAGTGTGAGCCAGGGCTTTAATTGGACCGGGCCAATGGCCCGGCAGGTTAAGCAGTGAGGCCGAAATCATGTCGCGTTTCCACTGTCAGGCTAGTAGCTCGCAGCGCGTCACGCAAACCCCTCCCCAAGAATGTCCCCCGAATTTTCCCCACACTTCAGCGGGAATCGGGCAGATAAAGCACACCATATCATCACGAAATCAATAAAATGAAAACAACCCAAACAAACAAATGACACGTTACTGTACAGCAGTACATTATATGTCTATACGCACAGGCCAGTGTGTTTTTTCTCGTTTTAATAATTTACTCGCCGACCGACTGTTGGCATCGTGCATCAAGTGGTCTCGCCACTAACGGAGGGACCCGGCGCAGTGCGCGCAAACATCCATAATATAACACCACACAAATTCTCCGGTAATAACTCTGTATGAAATGTATTTTTATAACATCCTCGTTTTAACAGACGTCGTCAAAAATTTAGAGCAATTGCTTTGGAAAAACCTGTAACATTTTAATTTTACTCTAGGCTATATGACACTTCTCCTTTATTTAAGGATGTTGCATATTTTTCAGGGATCTTACGTAAAGGAAAGTGTTCAGTGTTTCAACAAATAAGAGCAAGTAATACAATATAGCCAATATTTTGTTGCTTTCAGCAGCTATTCACTAATAAATAAAGCTCCACATTTAAAATTTCATTTTAAAATTTTACCACGTCATATAAAAACAGAAACACTTGTTTAAGGACACAGAACACATTTTGTATTTGCAGTTTTCTCCGATCCGTTTGTAAACATGCGCTGCGCAGGACTGAATGACAGAAAAAAAGGTCGCCTAGTTTCGGCTTTCACTCACCCCAAAATGCTTTGATTAATATCATCGTATCCAAATACTTTATAAATAATATTTCACAACTCCTCTCGTGTTTATTGTTTTTAGAAAATATCTCAAATCTTTTTTCAGATAGGCCGATGAAAGTTTAATATGGCTTTAAAACAGTTACATTTATGTATTGTATATACAGTACCTACATTTTATTAGCTCTTGTTTGTTTTATAATGGTTTATTTCATGTGATTTTATTATATCTGATATTTGTAATTCTTTAAATATTAAATTTTGAGCCTACAAAAGTGGATACATCATTTGTAAAGTTTTATGTCTTTCTGTTGTGTTTATATTGTGTATTATCTCCTAAGTAAATTAAAAAAGAAAAAAGCAGCTCGCGGAATCAAACTGTGAAGCGAGCGCTCTTTTGTCTGGTCTCTCACACACAAACAGGCATCTAACGCTCACGTGTCAAGCACGAATTTTAAAACTTGACAAAAATTCTTGACAACCTTTACTGGCTACTGTGTCTTTGATATTAGGTAAAGATAATTATCCGTTAAGAACCGTGAACACCGAGACGTATTTGGCTTACATTTTCCTTCCAATTTTAACGTCTCGTGACTAAATAAAGGGCGCCAATGTGATCATGCACCCCAATGCGCAAACTGGCAGGCGTAAAAGCGTTATTTAACAAAAAAAACGTCTCATGCTCGTTTTTTTAGTTTTGACGCACCACGTCAAAACCTTCTCCGTCAATCAGATCGGCACTTTTGTTCACGTGCACGGAGTAAACAAGTGCAAACAAGTGCAAAACTGTCAATGCAAGTGCACATCGAAGAAGTTGCCCAGAGGCGATATGAACGGGGAGCTGCTTATTGCCCTGTGAACAATAGTCATTTCATCATTGCCAGAGCTGGAGCTGCTGCTTGAACCATCTATGCTTATTCGAGTCACCAGTAACTTTAACAACAAGCGTGTGAACTTTCTCTCCTCCTCTTCTTCTGTTACAAGCGCGTTTTGTAGCGCCATCTAACATCAAGGAGTGATTTTGCATCCTCTTCTGCTTGACGCCAGTAAAAATCAATTGGGTTTGAACACGGAAAAACGTCTCGTAAATCGCTGACGATAAACGCAAATGAAAAGCGTCCCGGTGTGTATGAGCCATTATTAAAACATCAAGGAAGACGCAGCAAAGAAATGTCACTTATAAGAAAAACTTTATTATTTTATGCAACAGCCTGACATTTAAAAGGGAAACATAAGGGCGATCAAACGCAAAAGACCCCAGCTTATAAGCTATTATGAAATAACCCATCTTAAACTGACCAGCTAGAAGTTTTCTTTCCCTTATTTATTGATGTGTTTGCCGCATGTACTCGTGTGCAATCGGAAAACTAGTGTAACGATGGCACACCATCTTAACCAGATTCGGCAAACTCCCCCTCTCCTTTCACTTCGCCACGAAGACCCAACTGGCCCTCTTTGGCCCGAGGTATTTGACCAGCTGCTGGCCCCGAGGAAGCCCCGCTTTGGCCTGATCAGGCACTGGAAGAGACACTGGAAACGCGACTGGCCCTGGCTCGCTCGCTTTAGGCGCAATTATGGAAATGCGGCTATTTCATACTGAATTTTTTTTTCTCGTTTACTTCTAAGTGTTTCATTTTTTTAGTAAGTTTAAGCAACTTTGCTTTTGTGGGTGAAAAAAAGGTGATTAATTGTGAGCAAAAGTCTTTTTTTTTTTCGTTTTATGACATGCTATTATTATTATTATTATTATTATTATTATTATTATTTTACAAATATTTAAAGAGATGATTCGCTCAAAAATATTGAAATGAGCCCATGAGTTACTCAACATAAAATAATTTGTAGGTCTAATCAAAATCAAAATATCCTTCAACTACTTACTTTTTTATGTTTGATTTATTCTTTTAAAGGTCTTGAGTGAATCTGCTGTTTGAGCTTAAACATAACCAAATGTTTTATTTCTGTATTTATCTATCATAATATAATGTGCTGTTAAAGTTTTAACACCAATGTTTAAGAAAAATGTTTAAGATTCTTCGGTTTAAGGTGTAAGATTCTTTAGGTGTGATGTGTGTGTTTTCAATTTTCTAGATCTGCTGGTGTTTGGTCTCTTCATGTTTTGCTCTGATCATATAAATGACTGGCTGAATGTGACTCTGTGAGCAGCAGATCTTCAGTTAAACATGATTTGTGTCTCAGCTGAATGAAATCTGCTTTATTGAATGTCTCTGTAGCATCACAGTAATCAGAAAACTAAATGTAGTGCAAATAATAAAGTGATTTAATTGTTGATTTGTTTGAGTCTGATTTAATATGAAAATTTCAGCTTCCTGGAATGAGTGTTTCTGCTGGGATGATGGTTTTTACTGCAGCGCCTCCTGCTGGTGTTTGAGAGTTTGATGAAGGATTCTGTTCTCAGGGATTAAATATGTCCAGTTTAGGTCATTTTCTCAAATTATGTCATCAAAAAATGGTTCAACAAAAATATTTTAGCATGCACAGTGTATAGAAACACAGTGTCAGTCAGACTGTATATAGTATATATTATGCATTTATCATTCATTTTCCTTAAACTGAAATACCATACAACATATATATTTTATTTTATTTTTTCAGTAAACTGAATAAATTATTAATGTAAAATAATATAAAATGCTTAAATGAGAGGGAGCATGTTTTCGGTTACTAATTGTTGTTTACTGATTATTAATCTTTTTAAAGTTCAAAAAAAAGTTTTTAAAGTTCCAGTTCAAGTTCAATTCATTTATATAACACGTTTCCAACTGCCACAAGGCTGCACTGAGTGCTTTACAGAGAAAAAATAAACTCATGATATGGGGATTAACAGTAACAGCAATAAGCAGATAATAAGAAAGAACACAGAAAGTGTAACAATGAAAAGAGCAAAAAATACAAATACACATTTTTGCCTAATTAAAAGATGCTACCACAGTTCCCTGCTGAAAAATCCAGCTTAAACCAGCCTAGGCTGGTTGGCTGGTTTTAGCTGGTCGACCAGGCTGGTTTTAGAGGGGTTTTGGCCACTTCCAGGCTGGTTTCCAGCCATTTCCAGCCTGGTTTTAACTGGTCAGGATGGGAGATGACCGGCTAAAACCAGCTTGACCAGCCTAGCCAAGCTGGGAGTCCAGCCAAAACCAGCTATATCCACCTTAAACCAGGCTGGTCAAGCTGGTTTTAGCTGGATTTGGCTGGTCATTTTCCAGCCTAACCAGCTAAGACCAGGCTGGAAATGGCTGGAAACCAGCCTGGAAATGGCCAAAACCCCTCTAAAACCAGCCTGGTCAACCAGCTAAAACCAGCCAACCAGCCTAGGCTGTTTTAAGCTGGATTTTTCAGCAGGGATTGCTGAAATTTGTATTAAAATCTGTTTTATTTATATTGTGCAGAGTATATTGATAATGTTTTTATGCCAAGTATATATTTTGAAAAGGGGAAAACAATAAATTGTTGTATGAATGCTGTAATGTTTAAATAATTTACCATTTTAAAACATGTGAAGGTCATGTGACCATCAGGAAGAACGCAGCATCTCATTTAAGGACGCGTCCTCAGCCCTCGCGGTCTCCTGAGTTTGTTCTTCCGAGGACACCTGGCAAGATCGGTCTCCACAAGAACGCAAGTCCGTTCTCTGCGTTCTTGGAATTGAGAAACAGCCAATATGTAGTCCATAAATGGCCTATTTGTAGTCCTTTAGCGACTAACAAATACTGTAAACAATATAAGGCATTCCTCTGAAAATAAAATAATATGTAAACAAATAAGCAAGCAGGATATTTGCATTTGCTTGAAATTATACAACACCGTGTTGTATACTGTCACAGGATCACTAATGACCATTAGTCATAACCACAAGTTTACATAAGACAAACTAGTTTGTATCAGTGTCTTCCTGTTAAATGATATTTGTGTACAGCCAGTTTGTCTATCTCCATAGGTTAAATATTACTCTATAGATCTGCGCTGACTACTAAATTGTCGGTTTATTCACGTAGTGTGTTTGGTTGAACACATGCAGTTACTCCCTGGCTGTAGCTGTTGTTTGTAGTTATGTTTGCTGCATGTGACTGTGTTTGCTGTGTTCACAGCGTCTGGCATCCTATAGTTAATCATGGGGAAACATTTCATGGTACTGTTTTGAGCCGAGATTCTGCGCAGGTGGCTGACCATTTGTGTGTGGTGGTGGTTTCCTACTGACTGAGTGCTGTGTGTTTATGTGTGGCTTGACTGGGTCTGCATCTGGTGGTACTGATGTGTAATCATATGAACCCGTAAGCGTAGTAACTGGGGGTGTCACGACTGTCAGTGACCACCTGAGGGCGCTGTAGTTCAATGGACACTGAGTGGAACTACAGCGCCCAAAAAGACTACATTTCCATACATTCTTTCGCGCACACACCCGGTCTGTCATCTACACTGATTTACAACCACAGCTGTCTCCGTTCTCCGTGATTACCAGGACTATATATTCAGTCATTCAACCACTGTTTGTTATCGTGTCGTTTGTCTTTCTTGTTCCCAGTAAGTCTGTTATTCCGAGTTGTTATTCCTGATCTTGTTCTCTTATTCTGTTAAAGTCTAGTTCATGTTTATCTGTCTTAGTTTCTTGTTTCGTTGTTTATTTGTAACTTTGCTCTTTGGTATTTTGATTATTAAATTTTGGTATTAAAAATCTGCACTTAAATCTGCAATCTTTTGTTCTCGTTATTGTTTTGATCACGCCTAACGTGACGGGGGATATGTTTAGAGACAGACCATTTAGGAACATGATTAATAATTATATGAATGTAAACTTTTGGATCTCATGATGTAATTATACACTAGTATATTTTGAGTTGGGGAGCACGGTGGCTAAGTGGTAAGCCCTGTCGCCACACAGTAAGAAGGTCGCTGGTTTGAGTCCCGGCTGGGTCAGTTGGCATTTCTGTGTGGAGTTTGCATGTTCTTCCTGCATTTGCCTGGGTTTCCTCCGAGTGCTCCGGTTTCCCCCACATTCCAAAAACATGCACTATAGGAGAATTAATGAACTAAATTACCCATAGTGTATGAGTGTGTGTCTAAATGTAAGTGTGTATGGGTGTTTCCCAGTACTGGGATGCTGCTGGAGGAGCATTCGCTGTATAAAACATAAGCTGGAATAGTTCTAGTAATTCTGACCTCTGATAATCAGGGACTAAGCTAAAGAAAAATGAATGAATGTATGAATGGTTCTTGGTGGTTAAATTAAGCCTAAACTAATGTGATAATTAATACATTAATTCAAGAGTTCACACTTAGCTGATGATTGGTAATAAGCTAGTTTGGCATGCTGTCCCGGGAGAGAGCCCCGAGCTCATGAGAGCCTCGAGCCCGGGGCTCCCTCCCGTTGCAGGGCGAGAGGGGAGTTTGAGCTCGGGTAGATCTCGAGAACCCCCCTCCCTCCTGCTGCGTGAGGGTTGCTAAGGTGATGCGTTGCTGACAGAATTGAATCAAATTTGGTGCTAATTTGGTTTAGTCAATTTACTTAAGTGTCATGTTTTTGGGAGTGTGGGAGGAAACCGGAGGACCCGGGGAAAACCCACGCAAGCACGGGGAGAACATGAACTCCACACGAAAATGCTGAAAGTTTGGGTAGATGCCCGAACCGGAGGCATTTTGCTGTGAGGCCGCAGTGCTAGCCACTGGGCCGCCGTGCTGCCCTGTAGACAAAAGAGGAGGCGAAGGGGTGGAAGGGGGGATTCTTCAAGACGAAGATGACTAAAGGTAAGGTGTTTGGTTATTTATACTTGGTTAGGAGTAGTCTGATTGGTGGTTCGTACATTAGCTTGACTCGGGCCAGCCGTGTCAATCATAAGCACGTGATCCTCTCGAAATTAGTTTATGAATAAACTTCACTTAACAAACAGTCATGTACCAACAAGTAAGTAAGGCAGCCGTTATTCATAATGAACTTTCCATGAGTTTTACTGCAGATTCCACACAATCATTGACACCCCTTGCTCCCACTCACCCACCGTCCTCTCTCTCCACCTCACTGCATCTCAACCTGCACTACAGATCAGTAGAGAGGATGAAGAGTCTTCAGGATACAGAATAGGCCCAGATAGAGGCCCCGTTTACACTAATGCATTTTCGTTTTAAAACACATAAGTTTTGCTACGGTTACGCCATCCGTCCACACTATGCCGGAGTTCTCGAGCGCTTTTGAAACTTTTTGAAATGGAGCGTTTTGAAAACGCTGGAGAGGCCGTTTTCATTCTGAAACGCTGCTGCTCCATTTCAGTGTGGATGAGGAAAAATGGAGACATCTTAAAACGGAGGCGGGACTGCAGACATTCGCTGCCTGATTGGGGCATTTGTGTCATTGCCTTCGTCACTGTATCCTTCCCTTATTTGTCAAGCCTCTATCACATGACAATAACACATGGCTTTAACACTACCGGAAGACAGTACTGTAAACAACAACATGGACACAGAAATGGGAGTGTTGTTTGCACTATTGTCTGTTTTAGGTGCCATTGTGCAGTTATTAATTTGTTACGTTTAGTATCAACTCGACCTCGTCGTCTGTCCACAAAAAGACCTTTCTTGCTTCCTTTGCCATCGCGTTTAATGTTCAACCGGCATTTGTTGACGAACAATAACCAAATGCTGAGCGAGACGCATGCTTCCTGTTTATACTAGAACGCGCATGCCCAGAGTGCGCGAATGGTCACGTGATATACGTTTTTGGTGGCGTAGCGTGGACGGAAATATGTTCAAAGACGCTAGGTAAGACGTTAGTGTGGACGCGGATCGTTTTTTATCTAAAATGCTGTTTTAAAACTAACACGCACTAGTGTAAACGGGGCCAGAGTCTCACCAGCCTGTTTTCCAGCTCTATCCCTGCCCTTCAACAGATCACTGGAACTTTGCAAAGTCCCTGCCAGCTTCAAATATTCCACTATCACCCCTGTACCCAATAAACGACAAAAAATACATGGAAAAAAAAGATAATAAAAGACAATGCAAATTTTATGGTGGATTTTTCTGCTGTAGCCAGTATGGAAATGCTGTATTAGTAGGACATACAGACTCTTGACCACATTCAAATGAACATACTGCTACAGGAGTACAGAAACATGTAAATGAAAAAGAAACAATGACAAAGTCCTTTGTTTAGAGAAATGATTTGATATGCTGAATGACGGATGAGAGCAGATGTAGAATACTCACACAGTCTGAAGCTGCAGCCAGAAACATCAGACTGAGGACAGAAACACACCAACTCTGAGGTAAGAACAACACACATCTACATTATACACACGAACACACTTCTGACATCTGTTGATGCTCTTATTGATTGTGTATTCTGCATTAATGCTCCTCTTTTACTGAAAGGTTTTGTTTCTAAATAAATCTGATTTTCTTTCTCAGGAATGGCTCAAACTCTATATTTCCCTCTTCTCCTCATTGGTGAGTGTGTTTGTAGTTTTATTTATGGTTTATAGTTTCATTAGGTTTGACTGTTCTGAAAAGCATTAAAGCAAAGTGTCTCTTTCACAGCTCTCTGCTCCATATCTGAATGTGTTCAGCGTCAGTATCACTTTATAAATGAGCTGAAGACCCGGACTGTAGCTCAGCAATACTGCAGAGAGAAATACACAGATCTGGCCACTGTTGACAACATGAACGACGTGAACCAGCTGATTAAATTTGTGAAAGTGAATGACAGAGGGGTCTGGATTGGTCTTCAGGGTACGAATGATATTAAATGGCATTGGTCTTCAGGTGGTCCTGTGCTCTTTCTGAACTGGGCATCTGGACAACCATACAGCAGAAATAATTGTACTTTTACAAAGAATGGACAGTGGTATGTTGGGGCATGTAATGCCACCTGGACTTTCATCTGCTACAACAGTAAGTACAAACATCTATAAAACTATATATATATATATATATATATATATATATATATATATATATTAGGGATGTAACGGTATTGTAAATACCGTCATACCGCAATATTAATTTTTTTCGATATTACCATAGTCGCATGACTCGGTAAAACTATAGGTCTTCTGAGAAAGTTTGCTCAGGCGAATGAAGCGAACGGGAGGTAGCGAAAACTACAATTCCCATCAGCCCATGATTGACCATCGTCCCTTGCGGTCTGTTGTCGCTACAGATCCAGTAATGTGGAAATGGAGTGTGCTGCTAGAAGCGGGGATGAAAAAGAGCTGGAAAACTCTAAAGCGGGTGTTGTCGCGCGAGTTCTTATCAGCTGTGTTGTCGCGCGAGTTCTTATCAGCTGTGTTGTCGCGCGAGTTCTTATCAGCTGTGTTGTCGCGCGCGTACTGAATAGCGGTGTTGTCAGCACACTGTTCAGATTGATGCAGACATGAGATCTCTATCTCACTCATGGTTTGTCCTCTCAAGTAGGGGGAAATACAATGCACAACGTTACCCACTGCTGTCAACCTGGGCCAAGTCATATCTCTCTTGTCCCAGAAACCTCAGTCCCAAATGAGAGGGTTTTTTTCTGTTGCAGGGGACATTGTAAATACCCAGAGATACCAGCTTTTACCAGATTATATTTATATGATAATTTTCCTTTAAACCCATCTCTATCTAAGTGAGTGAGTGATTAAATGTTGAATGTGATGAGTTTTCAACAATACTAAATTGAAACTTTATTTTTTACATGGTTTAATATTTTTTTGTTATTAAAATTGAAGTTCCTGTTTCAAAGCTTACAGATAGATGACTAATTTGTATGTCATTGACACTTTTGGCACTTTTTGTGGAGTATTTTCATAAGTTTTGTTTTTCAAATCAATAAATACCGTACAGTGACATTCATACCGAGGTATTACCGAACCGTGAAATTCTGATACCGTTACATCCCTAATATACATATATATATATATATATATATATATATATATATATATATATATATATATATATATATACACATACATTTTCAATAATAAAAATCTAGAGATAAAAGGATTTAGGATACATGTGTTTCAAATATGTATTTCAAATACAAAATAGTACTTTGTAATTTGTATTTTGTGGGGTTGATGAAATTGGGTATAAATTTTGTATCAAAATACTTTAGTGTCTCGTATTTTTGTATTTTAAAATACCGAAGTCTACAAGATTACATCATAAAAATGCGGCCTCTGATGCAGAAAATTTATTAAGAAGAGGGTCAATGCTTGGAGAATGGATGGAAATTATGCAAAATTAAGCAAAAAAAAAAAAAAATTGACAAATGGCAACACAAGTCAGCAATCATTCAAAATAGTACACTACACTGCACAATGCTAAGACCAGTTATATACAAATGGCAGAAAAATGTACAATAGGCATCAGCATCTTTGTTTAAGAAATGGGTAACACTTTACAATAAGGTTCATTAGTTAATGCATTTACTAACATGCACTAATCATGAACAACACTTGTTTAATTGAACATTTACTAATGCGTTATTAACATTCAAGTACATGCTTGTTAACATTAGTTAATGCACCATGAGTTAACATGAACTAACAATGAACTACTGTATTTTTATCAACTAACGTTCATTAACATGAATAATACTGTAGTAAATGTGTTGTTCATTGTTTGATCATGTTATTAAATGCATTACTTAACATTAACTAATTCATTTTCCTGTCGGCTTAATCCCTACATTATTCTGGGGTTGCCACAGCGGAATGAACCGCCAACTTATCCAGCAAGTTTTTACGCAGCGGATGCCCTTACAGCCGCAACCCATCTCTGGGAAACATCCACACACACACTCATACACTACGGACAATTTAGCCTACCCAATTCACCTGTACCGCATGTCTTTGGACTGTGGGGGAAACCGGAGCACCCGGAGGAAACCCACGCGAAGACAGGGAGAACATGCAAACTTCACACAGAAACGCCAACTAAGCCGAGGTTCGAACCAGCGACCTTCTTGCTGTGAGGCGACAGCACTACCAACTGCGCCACTGCCTCACCCTTAGAATTAACTAATGAACCTTATTGTAAAGTGTGAACAAGAAATCAAACGGAATAAAATATCCTAAAGTCCTTAAGAATATGATGTGGAGTCTTCAGCATATAATCATTCTCAGTCTCAGTGCTGCAGGTGGAGATGAAGAGGTACTATAGAAATATAAAACACCAGGCACCTTTGGCTTATTCCTTTTATTAATCCGGGGTTTTATTAATCCTTTTCCTCTGATTGGTACGGTACAGTTCGGTAAACTAATATGGTTGTTTCCACTGTCAACTTTGAACTCAACCGTACCGTACCACTTTTTCGGCACCCTTTGCAAAGGGTACCAAAACATGAGAAAGTGTACCAAAAGGCGGAGCTAGATGTGCAGCTGAACGCTATTGGTTTACAGAGATACTTCATTCGCATGCAGCCAAAATGAAAACAAAGGAACCGCATATACACAGGGCTTTACATTAACACTCATCAAATGCGGGTAGATTTCAACGGTGGCGGGTAAGACAAACAATCCCACTAGCCACTTTGGCTGGTTAAAATAATTTTCCCAGATAATAATGCTTAAAAGCAGGGTTTGACAAAAAGCATGGTCCAATACATGCATGCAAAGGCGATCTTAGAATTGAGAAGCAACACAACTGGCAAAAGTAACTGCGTTCGCGCGAACAATAGTGTCATACAAGTGTCAGTATAAAAAATCAGGAGGAATCAAATGCAGGAAAAACAGGCATTTATTACTTCAGTGGGCTGTAGAGGGGATATAATACAACAAAAAATTCCCAGCACAGGGTGCTGTAAATGCCACAGAAAAGGACAAAATTCTGGCAAAAAATAAATAAAGAAAGTTCAATAGAGGGCGCTCAGCGATCCAAAGTGGCCAGTCAAAAGGGGGCAAAAAGACAGAAAGGATAATTACAAGCAATACTAAGTGCTTCCAGCAGGAGGCGCACGGCGGTCCAACTCTCCAGTCAATACGGGGAACACAGCTGTATCAACGGCCGAAGTAAAAGCGCCCGGGCGGGATTCAAGGCGGCCAGAGAGGGAGAAGATCGCTGGTGGGCAATATAGAAAAGGCAGAAGCAGGAAGTGAAGAGGGAAGCGTCTGCCACAACTGATAGCAGCGAGGGCGATCTGATGAAAGGGGAAAAAAAACAGGAAACAGTCCAAACCACAAAATCGAAATCAAAAAACTGGCACTGGAGTCAAAATGGTTACAAGACAGGACACGATCTAAGAGGCCACCGCGTGAGGTAAACACACCCGGTACAAGACAATGACAGAGAGAGGAATAAATAGGGAGACTAATAAGGCTAAGACCAGAGACAGGTGCGAATAATGAAATAATGATCTAATGAGTAACCTGATGAGTGGGTGGAGTGAGGCAGTGGAGCACATGGCGAGCTGTCAAAACAATGCCATGTGCTACGAGAAAACAAACACAAATGACTGTGACAACATGCAGGTGACAGACCATGACAAATAGAAAGCAGGTGAATACCGAATGAGAGGATGATCGATCGCGCGCATCACATCACATGTGCGCAATATTTTTTTAATACAAAAAAAAAACCTCTTCATATATCACACTTTTAAAATACAAGGCAAATAAGAGCAGTGGCATTGCTAGGGTCGAAAAGGATAAGGGGTTAGCCCAATTACATAAATACTTTTTGCCCATCCCTGATCGCATGCAGTAATAAAATAATGTGTTACTGAATATAAATCACGTAATTATACATGTATAAATATATTGCCAATTTTTAAAATGATGATTAACTAAATATATAATAGTAAAATATATATTTAAATGACACATTGTGTGATTCTGTATATATTTATGGCAGATGCTCTGTTTTGACAAATCTAATACAAAAAACCCACTCATTGGTTGCAAGCATGTTTGATGATGCTCTGTTCTTCTTCATTCATTCACATATTCATTCAAGTGAGCACAGGACTGGTGTTTGTCAATCAGATGAAGAACTGGAGAGACGCTCAGAGTTACTGCAGACAGAATTACATTGATCTGGTCAGTGTGAGGAACCAGAATGAGAATCAACAGCTGGAGAAGTTCATTAATGACAATCAGATATCTGGATCTGCAGTCTGGATCGGTCTGTTTAGAGACCCATGGCAGTGGTCAGATCAGAGCAACTCCTCATTCAGATACTGGAAACCTGGTGTACCTTATAGTCCAGATGATACACACTGTGGAGCGGTTGAAATGTTCGATCAGGGGCAATGGAGTGACTACTCGTGTAGTGGTTCACAGCAGCTTCCTTTTGTGTGTCATGAAGGTGAGCAGATCCACACTCAATCCATCATCAGCTCCAGATCTCTTAAAGGGGTGGTCCACTACGATACCATATTTGAAACTAGTTGCAAGGGGCAGTGGGGGGGCTGTGGGGTAGTGCGCCGTATCTGATGCAGTTCGGATGCAGAACGTATTTGAGAATCGGGCAGGAGACGCGTGATTTCCGTGAGATTATCATACGTTTGCTGGCATCCGGGAGTCTCTACATTTGTGGGAGACTCCTGGAAATTTCGAAAGACTTGAGATGTCTGTAGCAGTGTGAACATAAACAACATCTCTGAATGTAAGACGTTCAAAGTTCAATATAAAGGGATACATTGGCTTTTACAGCGTTAGCTTAGCAAAGCCTACAGCAAACAAAGTTTAGGGACTACAAAAATACATCCAGGCTAGTGAGATCATAAATGCTTCAGGTTATGCGCATTCACCATGCACACACACCCCGCGCAGCACAGGGGCGTGGCCAGAGGCACTGTAATGTTATAGCAGAGAAAGCTAAAATGGCGTCCAAACACTGCTATTTCCACAGAGCTTCTTCTGTTTCAGTATTTGGGCTTCGAAAGAACACGACAGAGAGAGAAGTGCTTACAGTTTCATTTTAATTATGTTCCATTGGATTATAATAAATATATAGCTAGCTAGTTGACTGCTGGACTCGGCTAAAACCTCCTCAAAACCTGTTACAACCTGTAGTTATTTTAATTGGTTAAAATTGATCTATTATATGTATAGTGTCTAGCGTTAACTGTATGTTGTAGCGAGGACGTAAACAAGGATGTAAACAACGGGAAATGCTGTTTGGCACCGCTAACATTTTAGCTACACATTCACATTTATCCATCAATCCACTGTAAACGCTACAATCTTCAGCAGTGCTGCAGTTTTTCTCTATTTGTGATGGGTCGTTCATGAACGATTCGTTCATTTTGAACGAATCTTCAATATGACTCTGGAACTACGAGTCCTCTCAGGGAGTGATTCGTTCATCCTCGCGTGCGCACATTTGTGCAGGTGATATCTTTCATTTCAAGTCTTTTGAGACGTTCATCGCAGAAAGGCAGAAGCCAATCATATGCGTTTAGAGCCGGAAAAAAAATTGATCCATTCACCTCTCGAGTCCTCTATCGGGTCTGAGTCATTCGTTCATCACGGGCCAATCATATGCGTTTAGAGCCGGAAAAAGAATTGAAATGAAAGATGAACTTATTATCATGGCTCCTACCGACTTAGACTGTGTGTACATGGTTAAGATTATACGTGACTGTCAGTGTAGCGTGAGCGAACCACTGACATTTGAAGACATGAAGAGGTGAGCTGAGCAAAGAGACAACAATACCTTCATAGACAAAAGAGCAGGTAAACATTGAATTATTATTTTCTCCTTCTTATATTCTATTTATGACTTATTTGTCATGTGATCAACCTTTTTAGCTAGTTGTAGATGTGTTTGGAAGCAATTCGTAACATTTTAATAATATTTTGTTAAATTGAACCAAATTAACAAAATGACTCGAAAAAAGATTCGTTCATCTCGATGAACAAGACTTAAAGATCTGAGTCAGTAGAATGATCCTAACTTCCCATCACTACTCTCTATGCGGATGTTTTCTCTCCATTCTAAATCCCAAATTACAAACTCGCAAAAGATATGTGGACGTTTTATGTTATTTACATATGCTTATTCAGAATATATGTGAAAGACACTTGTCAGATGTTATTTTAGAGAGACGGCACAAAAGCATGTGCTTGTAGAGGTATTAGTCAAATGATGCTTTTCTTGGTGACGTGGGCTGTTTCTCAATTCCAAGAACGCAGCGAACGGAATTGTGTTCTTGTGGAGACCGATCTTGCCAGGTATCCTAGGAAGAATGAACTCGGGAGACCATGAGAACAGAGAACGCGTCCTGTGAGGAATGAGATGATGCGTTCTTTCTGATGGTCACATGACCTTCACGCATTTTAAATGGTAAATTATTTAAACATTACAGCATTCATACAACAATTTATTGCTTTTTCCCTTTTCAAAATATATACTGTGCATAAAACATCATAAACATATGTTGCACAATATAAATAAAACTGATTTTCATACGATTTTCAGCAAATAAACACCCCTATTTATTCCTTTATTAAGATGTTCATGGTGATGTTTATATTCACCATTTCATTTAGGGAAACTCCTGAGGTAAATAAGTGACATCTCTGAGATAAATCTGTATAAAATGCTGCGCTTCCCACCTCCAGTCGCAATGACTTCTGGGACCTCCAGAGCAAGTTCGGTGCTAAAGTCTGCATCGGTGCGTCCTCGATATCAAGAACACATCCAGGAAGTTTCACACGTCCTCTGTTCTTGCGGTCTTAAGTATTAGAACAGAACTTTGGCAGTTGATGATGACGTTACACGAGAACACGAGGACGCAAAATTGATGAAGAACGCATATTGAGAAACAGCCATGAAGCAAATCCGCGAATCAGAGCAGATTATGTTAGCTAACCAATCAGAGCCACTTGAGAGCGGGCCTTTTGGAGGAACTAGGAAATATGACAGTCGTTTTAATGTTAGCTGGGTAGCTGTGTATAATCAAAGTAAGATTTATGAAAACATAACGTTTTTTTTTTTTTTAACAAATGAAGCATGAGCACACATTGGTTAGCATCTTATAAACACAAGTAAGCCTTAAAAATACACTGTGGACCACCCCTTTAAAGTTGCCTCTACTTGTCTGACAGATTCCTCCACAGTGTTTGTTCTGCATGTTGTTGTTGATCAGTCTCTCTCTAGTTTCTGCTTTGTTTTGTGTCCAGATAAACTGATTGTGATCCAGCAGAAGCTATCATGGTCTGAAGCTCTGAGATACTGCAGACAGAATCATGTGGATCTGGTCTCAGTTCAGTCAGAGGAGATGCAGAATGAGGTGATGAACGTGGTTAAACTGGCGTCTACCGAGGCGGTGTGGTTGGGTTTACACAACTACTGCAGCATGAACATGTGGCTCTGGGTGAGTGGAGACATGGTGTGCTATCAGAACTGGGCTCCAGGGAACGGCAGCACACCGGAAAACTGCGAACTGGAGAACAGAAAAGGAGCAGTTCAGTCTGGAGGAGATCAGACCTGGATCAGCCGTCCTGAATCTCACAGACTCAACTTCATCTGCACTAACTACTGAGACAAAAGATGTGAGATTGTTGGTGTTTACTTCCATTCACTGTTTTCACACTGCGTTATTTTTATTCTCATTTACTTTTAAGTGTTTGACTTTGCTTTGGTTTGTGGAAAGCAGCTGTTTAAATGTGGACAAAAGTCTGTTTTATGACATGCTATTATTATTATTATTTTCCAAATGTTTTAAGGGATGATTCACACAAACAAATCAAATTAAGCCCATGATTTACTCAACCTAAAGTCATTTGTAGGTGTAATCAAAATTAAAAATATCCTTGTCCTCCTAAGGTCTGAGCTACCTGACAAAAGTCTTGTCTTCGATCTCAGTTGTAAGAGCAACAAATAATAACTTGACTTCTAGTTGATCATGTGTAAAAGTGTCAGAAGGTTGACTTTTCTGATGAATCACCTGTTGATCTGCATCCCGATCATCACATATACTGCAGAAGACCTACTGGATCCCACATGGACCAAGATTCTCACTGAAATCAGTCAAGTTTGGTGAAGGAAAAAATAAGGTTCAGTATGGGGGCGTGCAAGAGATCTACAGAGTGGATGGCAACATCAACAGCCTGAGGTATCAAGACATTTGTGCTGCCCATTACATTACAAACCACAGGAGAGGGCAAAATCTCCAGCAGGATAGCGCTCCTTCTCATACTTCAGCCTCCACATCAAAGCTCCTGAAAGCAAAGAAGGTCAAGCTGCTCCAGGATTGAACATTATAGAGCATGTCTGGGGTAAGATGAAGGAGGAGGCATTGAAGATAAACACAAAGGATCTTGATGAACTCTGGGAGTAGTGCAAGAACTTAGTAGTGCAGCTTACTTCGCCATTCCAGATGACTTTATTAATCAGTGATTTGAGTCATTGCAGAGATGTATGGATGCAGTCCTCCAAGCTCATGATGGAGTCAGACACAATATTCATTCTGTCTCCACTGCAGCAGGACTTTATATTCTATACTGGACATTATTTCTGTTCAGTCACAAGTAGGGGTGTCACGATTTTTAATCGAAATCGATCGAAATTTATGCTCAATTTCGATTATCGAATCAAAAAGTAGAATCGTCGATGCTGCCACGCCCCCATGTCACGTCAGCTTGGCTTGCCAAGCGGGAAAAAAACAGGCGTGTTGAAGTGCTTGTTAAACTGCAGAAGCAGGAGACCCGTCGACAGAACTTAAACCCTCTCCTCTTTCAATGAAGTCGCCGGTGTTTAAGCATTTTGGATTTCCAGTGAGTTATGTTGACAACGTTCATGTTGTCGACAAAAAAAAAACACAGTTCTGCAAGCTCTGCTATGTACGTATTACGTACGGTTCTTCCGATAGACAACACCGGCATCGCGATCCTCCGCCCGCCCCTGTTGCAAATCCACTCGCGAAAAGTACACACTCAGGCCCTGTTTACACTGTCTTTGTTTTTAAATGGCATTTTAGAACGACAACGATTTGACATCCACAGTGGCGTGTAGCATTTCTGAACAGCCCTCCTTCCTCTCTACTTCTGAAAATGCACATCACGTGACCACACAGACACAGACGCACTCACAGCCATGCGCTCGAGACAGCAGGTCCAGGCAGTCAGAGGACTGCTTCAATCTTTCACTCACTTGTACTTTAGTCATTTTAGCGAACACCTCAGATACTGTTGGCTGGTTCCTGTTGGTTGTGCGTCTTTTTTACCAACGCCATTATAACGACACAGATCACTGCCTATTCACGAGTCCCGCAGAAAAAGTGATTGACAGGTGGTAATTATGTGTGTGTCTTGCCTTTATTCATTTACTGTATGATTTGTTTATGGGTAAAACAAAGACCATGCAGGTCAGGTAGTTTAAACGGTAGGCTACAAATAATTAATTGGTCATTAATTAATTAGTTATTCATAATCGAAAATCGAATCGTGCCTTTAGAATCGAAAATCGAATAGAATCGAGGATTTGGAGGATCGTGACACCCTTAGTCACAAGACTTTTGTCTAAGCAAAGTCAGACCTTACTGTCCTAATGAAATCATTCAAAATCAAGGCATGATCATGTTTTATGTTGGTCAAATAAGCGTCATCTAGAGGTTTTTGCCTTTCATATAATACACTTCTGATACCAAATGATCAACTAAAAGTCAACTTATTAGTTGTTCCTAAAACTTGGACAGGCAGATAGACTATTGTCGGGGAGTGTATAATAAAAGTGAAGAGATCTAGATAATGAAGCTCATCTATACTCATATATTATGTTTTCCACGCTCCAAAGGATTCCAAACGAACAGAAGTCATGCTTATGTCTGAGTAAATCGAGATGTGTTTGTGTGTTTATTTACATTAGAGAGAGTAATATCCGGTGGCATGTGTCAAAAAGTTTGATTGATGACCGCCACGCCCCTTTTAGGGCGGGGCTTCCGGTGTAAACCCCGCCCCTTTCCGTTAATTAGATTCTTATCAGTTGAATTAAATTAATAATTCCGGTAATCAGATTCTTATCAGTTGAATTAAATTAATAATTCCGGTAATTAGATTCTTATCATTTTAATTAAATTAATAATTCCGTTAATCAGATTCTTATCATTTTAATTAAATTAATAATTCCGTTAATCAGATTCTTATCAATTGAATAAAATTAATAATTCCGGTATTATTACATTAAAATGAGATATTTTAATATTATGAAATAGGTTTTAATGAAATAAATTATATCAACCGTTATTAAATCTATATTATTTAATATTATACAGTATTATATTTTAATTAATGTAATCAATTCAGTTATTATAAATATACAATATTATATTGTCATTATTGTTTTAAATTATATATTATGTTAATATATTATGTTAGAATTAATAAACTAAGGTATATGCACCGGTGTGTTGCCTTTGCTCTGTTATGGTCAGAACTGGCACCAGGCATATGTGTGCATGTGTTGATAAGGAAACCGTTACCTGTCCTTTGGTCGACTGTTTGTGAAAGATAGATGACATATCAGATAAGTGATATATAACTGATGGTTGTAACAACACATTTCCGGTATGCTGTTAGGAGATAAGTAAAAATCGTTGACCGTTAGACACAATCAGTCGGATGTTCTAGCAAGATAGAATGATAAACCATTGTCTGTCCTAATGCTAATCAATGATAAGAAAATGCTGACACAACATACAACAGACAGGACATGGGTGTGTCATATATTTGTGTATATAAATATAGACCCGGTAATAGGCTGACTTATGTCAAAACCATGTCTGACTTTGAAGTGAGCGCTAGCAGACCCGGTCAGATTTGGACCGATGATCTCAATACCGACTTAAACGGTAACCCTATCTCTATGGAAGAAAAGTGGGACGACCACCTAATGAGAAGGGTGATGATGGCTCCTAGAAAAAGGATCACCAACCTGAAGCTGACATATTTTCTTCACGAGAATAAACGTTACATGAAAAAACAGGTTGTTATGCCCAGCGAACTCATTTGTCATTACCTATTTGACAAAAAGCAGCGGGTTGTTACATTGTACATAACAGAGTCTGGAGAGCCGCACAGTCTGGAGGACCCCTGTCTGGTCCTAACGGCTAAAGACTGGTTCTTATTCTACAATCATGCCTGGGCAGATGTACGGGAATCTAAACAGGAGCCGTTGTTTATCGCCGAGTGGGATTCTGAAAAACCAAACAATCGGTTTCGACTGGTTGGAAACAACTGTGAAAAGAACCCTGAAGACTGCATTTACATATTCTTGTGTGATGACAAGTCAAAGCTTCGTGAGCGTTCTGGAATAATACATGCTGACGAACATAATGAGCAATATGAAATGGTTCTACCCATCCTCTGGAGAGACGTCGACAAGATGGATGACATTTTTAGAACCATAAACAAACTGTTCAAATGGTGTGATTTGAATGATCGATACAGAAATATTAAAGTTCAGCTGTTCCACCCCCAGAGGTCTGTGCGCAGCGGGCGGGATCATTCGCAATTGTCCCCGCCCATCTACTACGCGCATAAAAAGGCCTAATCCGGGAGCGACCACAGCAGTACTACAGAATGTCTCAACAACTCTCTTCAGAATTTGCCATCTTCAGGCCCGAGGATCCCAATTCAATTCCTCCTGATGACAACGCCTTACCATGCTTTCCGAAATTCGCAGGTTCAGCACTAGACCGCGACTTACCGTGCTTCGAGCTAATCAAATCTTCAGGAGCAAACAAGGATGAAAAAAACTGGCTGGATAAATTTTGCACCGAACTAGGATACCGCAACCTGACATACCTGACCAACAAGTACAAAAAAGATGACAATACCAAGTTTGACGTCACCGATGGGTGTTTCTCCAGTTCCGGTTTCAAGCTCATAAAAGCTCTGATCACTGTGCTCATGCAGCACATCATCGACGCTCAGCTGAAAAAGGAATGTGAGGGTTGTGCCATCGACCACCCCAGCCAGCTGCAACACACCTGTCTGTTTGAACCATCACCATTCTACTTCGACTCAAACTTTGCAACACTCGTCAATAAACTGATCAAACCGGAGTTTCACACGGCTGTGTCACAGGCTATGATGCGTGTTGGTTTGAAGTCGCACCCTCAGATGATCCACGGAACAGTCCTCGGCATTCTACACGAATTGAGGAGCGAGCCGTTCATCGTTGCAAGACTGGAAGACATCAGGACCAAGATTCTGGACGACTCCTGTGAGAAAATCGTCAGCGACGCTGTCGATTTCTGGCAGCGCAGTGGCTAGACCTCGAACCCTCTGAAACTCAACAATGGGGAATACATGTAAACCTAGTAAGATACTTGAAATTTTTTTAAAAGAGTATTACAAAAATCAGTTAAATGGTCTTTTATGTAAAGTCATTAACGATGCTACGAATGATGACCGATTATCTCGGTCCAGACGGGTGATAAATTTCAAGAATGAAATGAAAATTGTGAGAACTCTGGATAATTCATGGGACAATATGATTAATGTTTGTGCTAACGGTACCGAACCAACCTGTTTTATGATTAAAAGAGTTCTAGATGCCATGTCTGAAGTATCTGATCGGTTTGGAGTCGGTGATGTCCTGTGTATGACTACCTATGTGTGTGATGTATGTATATCGCTGATTGAGAGAAACGATGTTGATGA